CGTAGGAAGGTGTAGACTTCCTGCTTGGGGTCCTCGGGACGGTAAAAACCAATGGTTGGAAACAATCGGTGACATGGCTCAAAATCGTTCTCAATGGTCCGGCACAGATGCATCCACTCCTTGTGACTTATGATTTCCAATTAAACTGTTTTGTTCTCCGTTATTACTATTCCTTTGTCTCACACCTCTGTTTACTGTCTATATCATGCATTTCTTCTCTTGCTTTGTGTGCTACATGGAGTGTGGCGACTTGAACTGCCGCACATATGTGCAAAGTTCTATGTCGAAAACCGACCGACCGATTGGTTCTACCTATATAGGTGTCACCGGAACTGCAGGTGAACTTGTAGATACAGTTTAAAGTAGAGTCCATAGAATTTGGTCCTTTAATCGTAGGTACAGGGATGGAAAATGTTCGGCATGTGAGGAAAAGAGATGCAGCGTAGAATGTGAGTTTGATGGCTGACCGAATTCTTTGAACTGCATAATCTGGTCACCCCTGAATGGTGGTAGGTTAATAAAGATAGCTTTGTTTGGTAGAGAAGCTGTCTTTTCTAGATGGAGTCTATCCTTACTGTGACAATCGACAAAGTTTTCTGGATAACCATTAGATAATAAAACTGAATGTATGTGTGGAAGCTCATCCATTACAGAGTGTGTCGCTCGTGCATGTTTTGCGGGCCCTTGAGAACAAACGTTTATTTCACTAGGGAATGTTTATACTGGATAGGAACAAAACTGGTAAAATGAAGATACTGTCCACTCCATGTCTGTTTACGAAGAATAGAACACTTAATCGTTACATCGTCTCTGCTGGTCATTGTAATATCCAGGAAACCGGGTTTATTATCCGATTACTGGCAATTATTAGTAATAATACCAACTCTGTTGAAAACTTTATTACTCTATACATCAATCATATTCATCTAAATATCCGAGTGACTTCCAAACTTAAATCGAATAACAAACTCGGTTTCCTGGATATCTCAGTGACCAGGAGAGACGATGGAACGATTAAGCGATCTATTTTTTGTAAACAGACATGCACTGGACAACATCTTCATTTTACCAGTTTTGTTCCTATCTAGTATAAACATTCCCTAGTGAAATAAACGTTTGTTCTCAAGGGCCCGCAAAACATGCACGAGCGACACACTCTGTAATGGATGAGCTTCCACACATACATTCAGTTTTATTATCTAATGGTTATCCAGAAAACTTTGTCGATTGTCACAGTAAGGATAGACTCCATCTAGAAAAGACAGCTTCTCTACCAAACAAAGCTATCTTTATTAACCTACCTACCATTCAGGGGTGACCAGAGTATGTAGTTCAAAGACAGCACAAAGACTTCGGTCAGCCATCAAACGCGCATTCTACGTTACATCTATTTCCCTCACATGCCGAACATTTTCTATCTCTGTACCTACGATTAAAGGACCAAATTCTATGGACTCTACTTCACACTGTATCCACAAGTTCACTTGCAGTTGCGGTGACACTTACACAGATAGAACCAATAGAATGTTCCAATGTGGTGGTCGAAAACAACATGTTCCAAAGTGGTTATTAAAACATATAGAAAATCCGAATGCAATTAATCTGAATAGAAATCCAGCATCATCATCATGATCCATTGTAAAGCACTTATAAATGTCAGGTCACAAAATCAATATTAATTAATGACTGTTTCACAATTATTTCATCACACAACTCTAATTCAAGGTTGATTATTAAAGCTGGTGATGGAAGCACTTTGGATTAATCACATACATCCTAATCTATGTGAGTATAGAAAACAATAGACTTCAACCTTCGCCTACCATGGTTTACTTGACCTATTTAAATGTGATTGCTCATTAGTACGTATGTGCTTTTGTTTTATATTACTGAGTGATTGTCATGCATTTTATTTTATTACTGTGAATCATACTACTAGTTGTAAGGTGATAGTAGCGAAACTACGGTATCATCTCGCGAAATTCGTCTTCTTAATGCTCTATTCAAATTTATCAAAGGGACCAACTATTTTAATTTTGTCAAACGAGGGCTCCCTGAAGGTACGTTTGTTGTTCGTGCCGACATGAGTCACGCATCTGTACTGTCTGATAGTCTAAATGAGATCCACCCAGTCTTATGAATAGAATAATGACTTCAATTTCTTGGACCTTATTTTAAGTAAAAGAAACGATGGTATGGTCGAAAAAATCCATCAAGAGAAAAAAAACCTGGACCGGACAATATCTTCCCTACAACAGCTGTTGTCTTGTATGCTATGAGCGTGAATTAGTTAGGACACCACACAGCGCAGCCAGGAAACCATGTTCGCCCAACAAGGTGGAGGGAGAATTAGGCTTTGTTGAGAAATACCTGAAGGAAAATGAGTATCCACAGGGGTTTATCCAAAAGTATAGCAGAGAAAAAGACACGAAAACCAAAAACACTCATTCATTGAAAAAAAAGTGTTCGTTTGTCTACCATTCAAAGGAGAAACAGCATCACACTGAATTGACAAAAGTATGAAAGGAGAGACAAAAGGATGCTCCCTGCATCTAAGCTCATAACACCAAACAGAATCACATGCTTTATAAGCCTATCTAAACTAGATAAGTAACCCATTGATGTCACCTCAAACTACATTTATAAATTTACGTGCACTTGCGGTAGCAAGTACACTGGAACGACAGAAAGAAGAGCTTCTATCCTGTTTTGTTAGCATATCCCAAGAAACATGTCTAAAAGGAAGCAGATAATTGCAAACTGAAATTATCAGACACCTTGTGGATATGAAGAATTTCATCGAGATTTACAAATCTTTCAAAATATTGAATATACAATAGACAGCAAATTTTTCTGAAGAAATTGCAATTTTGGTAAATTCTCACAGTGTTTGTTATACAGTAATATTTACTGATGACCACGCTTCGAGCACAATTTATTACTGCTCATAATCATATACTCATACAACTTTCTAACTTCGTTTATATAATTCCATTATTTTTCATCGCTTGACTTGATTGGTAGTAGTATTTTCCATATTTCCGTTATGATTGGCAAGTCATTCCTATTGCACGTATTGAGTGTAGACTAGATTAACCAGGATTCAGTAATCAACCTCTCTCTCCACCTACCTATATTACTTCTTAGAATTTTAACTCTATCCCACCCTATTGTGTGTTAATGCATGCAGTGTAATCGGTGAGCTTTTCCTACATTACTTATCTTCTCGGAGTCAACCATTCTTACCTTAGCTAAATTCTTATGTTCCGACAATCTGACTATCCCCGATCTACTAGTTTGACTTAACTCACAGTCATTGCAAGGCATTTTTAAAATTATATTGTTTTGTCTAATTGGGTCAACCTACAAGGTCCTTAAACCTACAGAGCTTGTCCTACCTGAGTCAGTTTGTACGTTTAAATGCCACCCTAATTCCTGCTTTATTAAGAATCCTACGTAGAGATGGTCTCAGATGTCCCCTCTTTATGTGGTAGAACTGTAGAAGCCTTATATTCTTTCTTGTTTATGTTATCATTATTACTTTCACCATCATTTTTATTTTGACCTTTTTTGATCTTCCTAATGAATTTTATGGGATAGTTATTTAACACCAACCGACTATTCTTCTATCTGTTTTATTTCTTCGTTGAGGTTTTCTGTTGCACTACTTAGTGCAATAGGAATGACTCACCACTCACACCGGAAATATGGAAAATACTGCCACCAATCAAGTCAAGCGATGAAAAATAATGGAATTATATATAAACGAAGTTAGAAAGTTGTGTGAGTAGTGCCCTGATATGACTATGAGCAGTAATAAATTGTCCTGGAAACGTGGTCATCAGTAACTACTAGTGTATAAAAAACACTGTTAGACATTTGTAAAAAAACTATATTAGTAAAATCGCAGCGAGATTGAAATAAGTAATTCCAACGTTTCCTGCGTTCGGCAAACTGGGCCGAACTTCTCCAGGGAAATTAATCGGAATTAACATAACAGAGAATTATATATAAAAAAGATATCTCTTGTTTTTAAGAACCGCTTTGTCCAATCATAAGAGTCACGAAACGGGTATGAACATGTATAATATGCAAAAATGTAATAGCTGTGATCAAAATTTCACCTCGGACTTACAAATATTGGTCTACCTTTGTAAAACACTTTAAACAGAGTGTGTTTGTATGTGTGGGTAAATAGTTGTAAAACATTTCTTAACGTCTCCATAAGAAGATATACACAGTGGGGAATTTTGACCAAGTATTATTAATTAGTGGTACATATCCATTTTTATTTATTAATCAGGATTTGCTATGTGTCAGCTAACATCACGCCTTCATGTCTGTTCAAACTGTTAGTATCTAGAATTTTACGATTAGACGTATTTTCAAAATTATGGTGTTTAGGATTAGAGTTTAGTTAAAGCACCCTGTAGAGAGGTTCCTTTTTACATATAAACCTCTGTTATGTTAACTTCGATTAATTTCCCTGAAGAAGTTCGGACCAGATTGCCGAACGCAGGAAACGTTGGAATTACTCATTTCAATCTCGCTGAGATTTTACAAATATAATTTTTTTTTTACAATTGTCTACTTCTCACTCGGCGCCCAAATATTTTAGAACTATTCTGTCAAATCTTGACGACAGTTCATTTGAAACACTGTGAGACTTTATCGAAATAAACTTTCACCCACAATGAAATTATACTCTACCACAGTGCACAAGTTCTATTCTTATACCAGTGACTCCAACTTTAAAGTTTTGATAGCAGTGACGTTATTTTACGAGATAAAGTTGCTTGTCTCTCACGACCAACCTTCTTCCTATTTCCGGCTTACTGTCGACCAATAGACTAGGCAGTTTGCGAGTTAGTCAGTCGGAGAATCGAACCTGAAACTCTTGCATAACTCGTTGGCTGTCTGGCTAGCTAGCAAGCATTCAACCGACTCAACAATTACACAAAGTGTATTTAGCTGTGAAACAACTTATTGTCACATATTATTTGACCAATCATATTGCAAAGAAGATCCTCGAAACAATGACTCACAAGAAAGAACACCACCAGAAAACTGCAAAACTCAACAATTTATTCAAGAACATGAACCAGCACACTGATACATATATAAGCAATGTGAAAAAAAGAGCAAGAATACCAATTCACTTATGCATTATAAAATGTTCAACATGTCACATTCACATAACTGACTTATATGACTTGACTTATATAGGAATGTCTTCAAAATACGGCTTTTCTCTACGCCAAACAATTTCTAAAGCATCAAGAGCTTTTTGGCCTAAAGGCAAATCATTATAACGATCTACAAATGATTGGATAACACCGGGATAAGTTGAAGGATATGCGATTAATTCAACATCATTGGTAGTTTGACGAAGTCCAGGTTGTACAAATATAGGTCGAGGTTTCTTACGATCTAATACAATTTTACGCAATTTAGTATGTTGTGGAAGTAGTTGACTATAGTGTTGGAAGAAAGCACATCCATCTTTAGCATTCGCTGTACTTTTGTAATACTAAATAGGAAACAGAATAGAGTAAATGAGAAAAAACAATACTGATTATAAGTTTAATTGAATGTGGTTTCTTTAACTTTGAAAAAAAACTACCACAATAAAACTGAGGAGTAAATGTCGTACACTCCGAAGGACGATTACATTTTACAACGTACTTAGCGTATAACTAGTCACTTCAATGGAGAAGATAGTGTTAATTAATAAATGTGAGTTATCATGAACGTAGTTCCTTGGGCAGGTGTCTTTCAAGACCCAGGCTGGGACGGGACTCGACCCCGGGAACATCCACTGACTGAAAACCCACTGGTTAAGCCAGTGAATGAGTCATGTTCTTAGCAACTAGGAATAACAGAAGTATATAGCTTGTGTATAATTTAAGTATAAATATAAATATGGAACTCATTGTGTTAAAGTTTCTGTACCAATTTTGTTTACAGGGTGGGGTTGCTTGTCTCACGCCTGAGAAGGGGGTTGTTAAATTAATGTATAGTTTACAGAGGAGTGACTTTTTGGATTGCTCCCCTTAGTATCAGGAAAATAAGGAATAAAGCAATCACGACAACACCAGTAAAAGTAAAAAAAATTTACAACAGGAAGGGCAGCAACAATGCTGCGTGCCAAGTAATCCACAATGGGAAACTCACGGAATCCTTCGAAGTGAAGACGGAAGTAAGACAAGCTGGTTGCTTACTATATCCGATGATTTTCTTAATCGTGGTAGACTGGACGATGCGACAAACAGAGAGCGGGCAGTGAGGAAACAGGCATAACATGGACCGACACAAAAAACTCTGAAGATCTGGACTTTGCTGATGGTATATGTCTGATTTCCCACAAACTGGAAGATATGCAAGTGAAAAGCAACAAGTCGGCGATAGAGGAAGCATCAAAGATAGGAAGGACTTCAGGTGAACATAGAGAAAACAAAGGTAGGTGATAAAGATTCCTGACCAGCAGCAACAACAACAACAACGGACAACAATCAGTATAAATGGGAGTAATATGAAAGAAGCAACCTCCTTTACCTACCTACCTACTTGGGAAGCATAGTTTCAACTACAGGCGGACGGAACTGATGAGGATATCAAAGCGAGGATTGGGAAAGCAAGACAAGCTTTCATTACTCTCAAGTCTGTGTGGAGATCAACAGCATGAAAAACAAGATCCAGATTTTCAACTCCAATGTGAAGTCAGTGCTACTATACGGGTCAGAGACTTGTGGCCGTGTCACGAAGGGCACTTAGAACAAACTACATACCTTCATCAACAGCTTTCTTCGTTCAATGCTACTCAAGATCAGATGGCCGGCCAGAAGAGATCAGCAACAGGGATCTCTGGGATGGCCTAAGATAACCACATGATTGGTAAAATTTTGTTGTCGAAAAAACAACTATGCATATTAGTGAAGAGTCCATGATGGCGAATGAATTGAAAAGGAGTATATTTTTTTTCGCTCAATCTGTTGTTTGATTTACATTTGTGTGTCTCCACACTTAGATAATTTCTATTTTACGTGTATGCAGAGGCGTGATTTTGTAGCATGGGGGTACTTTATCGATAAATCTATCTGAGTAATACTTCGCGTCTTGAAGATCATACTAGCAAGAAACACTAAATAATTATCGAATTTCTTTTGTAAATTAACATGAAAGCGGTCATATTTTTTTCCCATTCATTCAATGTTTCTTCCAAGATAGAAATAGTTCCATTGATTCTCAAGTACACATTCTGTATAAGATTGTGTTGAAATTAATGCATTTGACATTAGAGTGTGCGTCGATGCCACAGCGGTTAGGACTCTCGCCGACCATGCACATGGTTCGGGGTTCGATCCCCCGCCGACGCACATCTGATATCAATAATGGTTGACCTGCAAAATTCGGGCTACCGATATCACATGCTGAAAATTCCACACTTGTACCCAAAATACGGTGTGGAATCAAGCTATAATAAAAAATTACATGGATCAGGGATTTCGCAGATGATATAATGTCTAATGTCACACGAACTCGAAGACTTACAGGCGAAAACAAACAAATTAGCTGAAGAGGCTGGCAGCGAAGACAGGACTACAGGTGAACATGGAGAAGACGGAGGTGATGAAGATAACCAATAAATCACAACAATAACAACAACGACCAGCACTAAACACCATCAACGGGAGAGATTTAATAGAGGTTACTTTCTTCTCTTATCTACGAAGCATAGTTTCAACTACAGGCTAGCGGAACGGATGAAGATGTCAAAGCCAGCTAGCAAGAATTGGAAAGGCAAGATACGCACGCCTTCATCAACCTGAAACCAGTTTGTAAATCTTCTGCGATCAGCATAAGGATCAAGATTCGCATTTTCAACACCAATGTGAAGTCGGTCCTTCTGTACGGGTAAGAACCTTAGCGTGTAACGAAAAGGATTTCCAACAGCCTGTTACAGACTTTCATCAACAGCTGCCCGCTTTGCTGGCCCAATACTGAAGATCAAATGACTAACCAGAAAGAATAAGTAACAAGAAACTCTGGCGACGAACAAACGGACCAAGAGCCGATCGCTCAACAAATATGTAGGAGAAAGTGGAGATGGATCAGGCATACATTGAGGAAGCCGCAGGATGACGTCGCACGCCAGGCCCTCGAGTGGAATCCCAATGGAAAGCGATGAGTGGGTCGTCGGTACTAGGGTGACATGGAGGAGATCGTGTGGAGAAGAAATGAGAGATTATGGACAATCATGGACCCAGCTGAGGAGAATGGCAGGAAATGGAACAAAGTGGAGGCGTGCTGTTGAAGCCCTATGTTTCACTCGGAACCCAAGGGCATGATAATAATAATACAAGGATCACATTTTAAAAAATCCTATTCCTCTGCGTTCCGAATGGAACATAGGGTTTAAAAGCTTGAGCTTTAAAGTTTCACTAGCTGTAGTGTTTAATTTTTACGGCATTGGGGTTACGAGCCCCTTATACCCACGTAGCCTTCCATCTTTACCGGGTTTAGGAGTGTGTGGTAAGTAAGTATTCTGCCACTGAACCACCGAGACGCACTACTCATGATTCACTGTTGTAATAATTATTAGAAATGCAGAAAAAAACAAGGCGAACAATGTTTACAGTTATGCTTACTTGCAATTTTCTTAAGAATTCACCAATTGCTGGACGAGCCACAGTTAAAAGCTTTTTACGATCAAAGAAAATGCACAAATCAGGTGCACCATCCTCACCGACTACTTCATCTATACGTACCATAGAATTGTCAGCTTCAATCAAAACCTGAAATTACAACAGAAATAGAATTTAAGTTAGATGACAAGCTGATATGGAACACTTGCGTTGATGACAGTGACTGGCTGTAGCGCAATACAAAGCAAATTGGGAGAAGTTAGAATTCATGAGCCGTTTGACTGCATGTCACTACACAGTTCCCTCCGTCCACTTTTTATGGCTGTGAGACATGACCATTGAAAGTGGGAGACATCAAAAGGTCAACCGTCTTTGATCATGCGTATCTGCGTTCTATCCCCCATGTTAGGCGATATAATAGGATGAATAACATTGAGGATTAGGCGTCAAGTATTACATAAAGAGGGAAAATCAATATATTGAGATGGCTGGAACATGCGTTACGCATGACTAGCTATCGCTTCCCTCGATCACCAGTCTTAGCTGACATACGATGAGGTTAGCAAACAGCTAGTAGTGATCGAACTAAAACATGGCATCAGTCCATGAGGAGTGCACAGACTGCCTGATTCGGGTCCTCGAGATTCTAAGAACCAATTACAGCTGGAGACAATCAATGGCATGACACGAAATCGTTGTCAGTAGCGCAGTTGGATTTACTCTCTATGGTCTCTCATATCAAATAAACTGTCATGTCTTTTCTAGTTATAATTCTTTCTCCCTCATATTCTGCTTATGGTTCTTTCGAATATCTCTTCTCTATCTTTGTGTTACATGGAATGTCACAACTCGAACTGGTGCACTTCTGTGTGCAAAGTTCTATGTTGAAACCAGTTAGCATAGTCAGTCATTGCCTGAATAGTCAACGGGCTCGCCTCGGACGCCTACCATTTGATCTAATCCACAATGCTCAAACTTTTTACTGATATTAATGCTTGTATCACAATTAATAACGAACCTTGAATTAGAGTTATTTGATGAGTTAAGTGTGAAGCAGTCATTCATAATGATTTTGTGACCTGACATTAATAGGTGGCTTGCAATGGATGACGATGATGCTGCATTTCTATTCAGATTAATTGCAATGGGATATACTATATGTTTTAGTAACCACTTCGGAAACATGTTCCTTTCGTTGACATAGGAATATTCTGTTGTTTCTGCCCATATTAGTGTCAACGCACCTGCAGGTGAACTTGTAGATACAGTTTGAAGTAGGGTCTACAGAATTTCGTCCTTTAACCGTAGGTGTAGGGATCGAAAATGTTCTAGATGTGAGGGAAAGAGATGAGGCGTAGATTGTGCGTTTGATGGCTGACCGAAGTCTTTGAGGTAGCTGTCAACTGCATAATTTAATCAGCCTTGAATGGTAGGTTAATAAAGATAGCTTTCTTTGGTACAGAAGCTGCCTTTTCTAGATGTCGTCTTGATAAAGTTTTCTGGATAACCATTAGCTAATAAAACTGAATGTTGTATGTGTCGAAGCTCATCCGTCAGTGTGTCACTCGTGAATATTTTGCAGGCCCTTAAAAACGAACATTTCACTAGAGAATGTTTAGATAAGAACAATTTTGTTCCTATCATCTCGCGAAATTTGTCTTCTGAATGTCTTATTTTAATAAGTAATTTGAAGTACACGTATATCTTACACTTTCCTCTTAGGTAGATTGTATTTCTAATTTCAGATTTTGGAAAAGTCAATTTCAATGAAGTTACAGCAAAGGAACTCATGGAACAGTTGACTACCTTCTCACAATCAGTTAACAAAAGTTTGGATCAACTATCACAGTAATTCATCCCACAGTGGGATGAAACAGGTGTCTAGTACTCCCTGGTTTCAACCTGTTGTCTAACTGATAACAGCTCGTGAGTCAATTTAAAACCAATCAACATTTGAAAATTGTTTCTCTCTCTAGTCAATCAGTTGAACGATTAATTACATATTCAATGTTAATATGAAACATGCAGGACATATATATATATATATATCAATTTAAAAGTGTATTAAGGCTCTAGTCTGATAGAATGATCGATATCCAGTCTAGAAATAAACGAATCAGAATTAACCTACGTAAAATAACGCCCATTAACTATTTTATTGACCATGATTACAGACTAACTGACATATAATCCCTGGTGATTTCTTCAATCATACATGATTGCGTGAAATATACTTTGTAGGTGTGATGGAGAAGATTTATACCTCAGGTGGATGATTTTGATATGGCTGTGTTCTCTGAGCTGGTGGATAGTTGATTTGCGAAGCCTTCATTGCCCGTCCTGCTAGGCAACATCTTCAGCGTGCATACTTAAATTTGTTGAAGTGATCTTTTAGATTTCTCCGTGAGTCTGTCAGTCATCTCTCCTGGTGACCCTGAACATCGTTATTGGTTGTTTTTGTGTGTTTTCACACCCTATAGGCTACTTGTATTGGAACTGATTGCTTCTTTGACTTGAACTTTGACCTTTTGTGTGTGAGATTTCCTTCTTATCGATTGGTAAGTTTTTGTCTATCTCGATGTGTCTATTGGTTGACGATTCACTGGAATACCAGGCTTCTAAAAACTCTCTAGCATTCTTGTTGTTTCCTCTGTCTAATATTTGAACGTTTATTTATTATTATTATTTTATTTAAACGCAGAAAAACTTGGTACAATATAGCACAAAGAAAGATGCGCCACACAATATTGTGTGAGGGCTGAGATACTGCCCGGGCGCCCAGACCGAAGCAGGTGGTTTTCCTAAGGGACCACCCCCCGAGCCTTTGACTTGGAGTCTAATCCGCAAGGCAGCGGAGCGGCGTCAGTAGCTGCGTTCCCATGGTTGCCTGTGACCCATATGGGTTCATACGCCATTTGATTCGATTGAATTCTGGAGCCCATGTACCCCATGGTAACTGCTTTTAGTCTAACCGCTATCCAAACAACCTTCCTGACATAGTAGAACCTGCAGGGACATGAGTCCCAGCCAGTTTAGCTTGTTGGGTCACTGCGGCATTCAAGCCCGACCACCACAGCAAGGTAGCAGTTATCGGTCGGGCCATATTTGAACGTTGTCCTAGTCGATTAGGAAACAATTGGTTCCAATACAAGTAGCAGCCTAGAGGGTGTGAAAACACACAAAAACAACCAGTGACGTCCAAAGTCACCACTCAACAGGAGAGATGACTAATAAACTCGTGGAGAAATCCAGAAGGTCACTTCAACAAATTGAAGTATACACAGAAGATGTTGCCTAGTAGAGTGGGCAATGAAAGCTTCGCAAATAAACCACTATCCACCAGCTCAGAGAACACAACCACATCAAAATACTTTGTAGGTCACATCATTGTGTGTTCCCGTTTAAGTAGCGCAGGCTGGGGAAACAGGCAGTTGATAATATAATATTGTTGGCGTACAGTCAAGCGGTATTCGTGATCAGCACGTCTATATGTCCAGCATCGGCGTCTCTATTTCAACTCAACGTTTTTCAAAATATATTACAGTTGGTCACATAAACCATGTTAACATTTTAGATAACGAATGGACAATGATATAATTTTCACTTTACAGAAATCAGTATGGCTAAAACAAGTGATATTTTTTCCTGAAAAAGGCTTTTTGTCCGCATAAAACATTGACACCATAAAGTACAAACAAACAATAAGGATGAAAAATAGCGGCACAACATAGAGGCAAAAACCGATCATCAAAAAAACAACAACAACCAAGTACGTTTTAATGGAATGTAAATCAGTGCTTAGTAATTACACATAAGACAAGCACTGAAAGAATACAAAACGATCAGATGAATTACCTTCACTAGAGGTAAAATATAATTCACCCTTGGTTATGATTTTATTAAGGCACTTTTTTAAACATTATTGTTAATTATTATTTGATTGGATACTACTAAATGGTGTATTGTACGTCTAGTCCTCTGCGTTTGGTATAGACTGAATTCTATCGATCAATTATGTACTGTGGCCACCGACCATGCTAGATGACTGGCCATCATGGTACATTATGGCATTTCCCGGTAAAAAAGGCGTATCTGCAACCTTGAGGGAACTCATGTCCCTTGTGAAATTCGAATCTGTGTTACAGTTGTCAGAGACGTATTCCACCATTGAGGTATTCGGGCTCGCGATTAAATTCATTCCTGTAAGACTGTATCGGATACTTCGATTGGACGTTAATTAGTCTCATGTGTCTAATCCTTTGTTTGCTGCAGACTGAATTGTAGACTACTATACGTTTTTGGTAAATGTTAATATCTCTGGAGATTAGAATCCGTAGAATATGCAGCCTCGAGTCAGTAGAAGAAGAGATCACTCTTTTGAGAAAGACACTACTTGAGAATGGCTACCCACCACCCTTTATAGATACACATATAAAGCTGAAAATCAACAGAGAACAACCAATCTCTGTGCCGAAGAAGATGCTATACATGAATGTGGCGTTCAGAGGCGACGTTCTGGCCGACATTCTAAAAAGAAGAATATCTAAAACCTTGAAAAGAACATTCTCTAATAATACATTACGATTGGTATTCTCAAGCCGCCCATTGTTCTTTAACATCTCCAAAGATAAACTATCGCATTTGACCACTTGTATGTATATCTAACAATTTACGTGCTCTTGTGGAGTCAATGACATGTATATAGGTTGTTCGATGCGTGTTTTATCCAAAAGAGTCGAATAACATTATCCCACTTGGCTACGAAAAGGTAACAATGGGTCAATAAAGTGTTATTAATTGAACATTATAGTCAACACTGGTCACTCAATATGCACGGAGAATTCATTCAAAGTCACCTACAAAGTAAAAAAAGAAGCCTCCCGAAAACGGTAGGTAAGCTTCCGTATACTTTGCATTGCCGGGGTCTTAGCAATCTGGATAGAAAAGCCTGATTTATGCACACAGAAGAAACTTCTACACCCCCTCCACCTACCTTGGGTGGTATAACTCCAAGTTCTACAACTTTGTTAATAATGTTTTATTTTTTGAAATTTTGTACGGCGTCTAGGTAACATCTTCTTAACCAAACCTTTATTTACTCTCTCTACCTATTGCATAATTTATTTTTGGACACGTGTCTCCATTAACATCCTATTTCATATTACGCAACCCTTGTCAATACTTAGCTATCTTCACCCTCATAGTTACGATTTTGATTATTCATCACCTTTTAGAGACGTTTTGATGACGCAAACAGTAACTCATCTATCTTTTATTTTTGCTTGACAATCCTAATGTACACACACACACACAAAATAATTGTGGATGTCCCATGGACGACATTGGTTGAAGTTGCGCTAAATCACGAATTGGTAAAAGTTAGAATTCATGAGCTATTGAATCGGGTCCCAGTGGCTGAATGGTATACGAGTTAGCTTGCCTTGTAACCGGAAGGTCCTGGATTCGAACCCTGGCAGTGGGTGCGTACTGCCGATGATTCCCAAACTAGGATGAAACAGCTGTCCAGTACTCACAGCTGGTTCCCAGTAGTTCTCTAACTGATATCAATCCGTGATCAACTCGTAAAAACAAAACTAATCCTTACAAACCAACTATAGAAAATTATGTATAAATGCGATTGTACAGTTAAGTCAATGAATTCGTTGGCGAAAAGAGACTCTTCGCTGAACTTTGTTGTTCTCAGTATACATGTCTGGATGGGTATTTTCCGTGAATTAAAAATTAGCAAGGACACTTTGACAGTGAAGAAACTTAATGGGGGTTTCTGCGCTATTCTGTCAAGCTTGCTGAAGTCAATGTGAAGGCCGATTTTCATCAGAAATTGCATAAATGCAAATGTGTTTTATTTCACCCCACTAGATTAGTGTAATACATGCAAATTAAGCAATTAAAAACAGTATTTATAATGACTTTAAGAAATAACGGGCACAGTGTAAACATCACATATTATTAGCCTGCATACAATCATGTTTGGCGTGCACTTGTTTAGCTTGACCTTACACGACCCTTATTATCGATATCATGCTTGATTGATGGTTGACTAAGTCAATATTTAGCTGATTAATATCTGTATGTAGTAGTAGTATGCTTAATACTACTGAATTCAAATCATGCTGTGTGAAAACCTTCGTTGGTAGCTCTTTATAATTACAGCCCTGTAGAATTTTTTCCATAGTTCTGTGATAGGATGCTGTCTGTTTTAGCTTTTTAGTAGCTTTATCTCTTATTATTATTAGCAGTAGTATTCTCCCTTGGGTTCTGAGTGGAACAATAGGGCTTCCAACAGCACATCTCCATTTTGTTTTCTGTCTGTCTGTTTTTGACATAGAACTTTGCATCGATGTGCAACAGTTCAAGTCGCCATACTCCATGTAGCACACAAAGCAAGAGAAGAAAGTAGAAGAAATGCATAATAGAGACAGTAGACAGGCATATGAGACAAAAAGAATGGTAATATCGAAGAACAATATAGTTTTATTGGAAATTATAAGTTACAAGGAGTGGATGCATCTGCGTCAGCCAGCCATTGAGAACGATTTTGAGCCATATCACCGATTGTCTCCAGCCTTCATTGGTTTTTACCACACTGAGGACCCCAACGAGGAAATCGACACCTTCCTACGTGGCTTAAACTAACTGTTGTGGATTTCATTGACTAGTGCCATGTTTTGGTTTGACCACCACTAGCTCTTTTCCAGCCTGACCGCATGTCAGCTAACATCGCCTGATTTTGTCCGTCGGTCGAGGGAGGCGATGACTAGGCATACGTAACACATGTCTCAACCATCTCAATCGATACAGCTGCTTCACAGCCTCGTCGATTGATTTCTCTTTTATACCTAGCACTCGACTGATGCATAACCTCAATATTGGTCACCTTATTATACCATTTCACACGGGAGATAGAACGCAGGCACCTATGATCAAAGAAAGCTAGTCTTTACATCTCTTCTACTCTCAATGTCCAGGTCTCACAGCTATAAAGGAGGATGGAGCGGACCTCCATTTTGTTCTGCTCCCTGCAGTCTTCTTCAACTGGTGCCACAACTGCCCACAAGCTTTCATTTGTTTCTCGCACAACCTCCTTCATATCATCCTGTCTAATTCATCCTTTCCTGCCAGAACGATGACCTGACGCGCAATGTCACCGGACAGTCTCCTCTTTTATTTTTAACTGATTATTTTCTTGTTCTAGACAAACCCTGCATTGAATAGATAAAAAATACTTGAGGAAAGTTTCAGAATTTCCTTTTCATGAATATCCAGAAGACAGTTAATTCCGTCGGATTTATCACTTGTGAATCCTTTATAGGGCTAAATAATGATGGATTTTGCCACGTAGACTACTAAGTAAAGCAGATAAGTCAGTTAGTCCGTGATGACTCTCTGTGAAACCTTCATCAACGGATATGATCGGCTATTCATGCTAGATGTGATAAAGTCCTACCTTCAGTAACACGTCAGGAAGCTTGGAACCGGGTATAAAACGAAATAAGACTGGTCAGAATGACGTAGAGACATCTAAGTAAATCGTGAAAACCTTCACCATCTTTCAATGTGATTGTTTTTCTTACTGAGAGTCGCCACAGTTAGTGTAATTAGGACTCAGAACAATTTTAGGAGCACGCATTACCATAGGCTTATGGGTTCCAAACGTCATCACTAAATAATACTGTGTGAATGTATTTTATCTAGTAAAATTACTCTATTATGGAATTATAGTTGATTCTATTTTTATACACCTTGCCTCACAGCTTATGGATGTGAGCATGAATCTACCTGACGCTAACATCAACACACAAGCTCGTATAGTGCTATGTCAAGTTTGACCACGGATTGATATCAGTCAGAGAACCATTGAAAGCCACTAGGGAGTAATGGACAGCCAGATGTTCCATCCTAGTTTCGGACTCATCGGCAATATCTGCCCACCGCCAGGATTCGAACCTGGGACCTTCCGATTGCAAGTCACGCTAATAGACCATCCAGTTACTGGTACCCGAAACCTCAATGGCCAGCTCATGAATTCTAACTTCCACCAATTCGTTGTTTTACTGCAATTGGCATCAGCCAATGTCATCAGCAGCGAGTACTTGTCCTCACTAACGACCAGCTGGATACCGCTGCGTAAGTCTACTGACTAGAAGAACTCCAGACAACTTTGTCTTGCAACCAGTCGACTAAGCAAGCATCACATTAATTTTCAAGAGTTAGAGTTTGTAAGGATTTGATTGGTTGCAACGTTGATCACGGATTGATATCAAAATTGAAACAAATTAAATTCCGACAAACTAACTTGAAGCTATGTCAGTTGGCTAAGTGAAGTGAATGACACTTTGAATATAATTGACTGCTAAAACAGGAATTTGGAAACACTTACTCGTAGAATTGCATAACGAGCACAACAATGTGCTTGACGCCATGATCCAATGTCACCAGCATTTTCTGCTGGAGAATAAAACTCCATAGAAGTTACACCTGAACGAATCATTGACAACCAATTGATATAGACGACATCTGGGACATCGCCTTGAGCACAGTCAGTATTCAAACCGAATTGTTCCAAAACAAGAGGTAAATCAGACAGATAAATTCCAACGCATTCAGCTCGACACTCTTCCATTGCAGAGGAAAGGCTTGAAAATTTGCTGTCATACGTTTCTCCTGGTTCATACCTTAGAAGTAAAATAAAAATGCAAACTACTAGTTAAAACTGTTACAAGTTAATGACATCAATCAAATACAATCTTAATAGTCTACACAAAAAGTTTGTCTACTCAATATGGTAGTTCACGGGTTTTGGTCCTACTCCACATACATTCACCTGGGCAACTGAGTGGTGTTATCAGCCCTCACCACACAGTAAATATGACTCACAGTCTGGCACATGAGAAGTCTGTGGCATGTAACCCAGTATACTAGTTAGCTATCTTCGTGTACGAAAAGTTGTTTTCTGAGACCACATGTACATAAAAGTGCATTAAATCACTTGCAACTTAAAATCAGTTACCTGTGTCTATATTCCCTTCAGTGAGGTGTTGGATGCTCGGTAAGTTGAGCATGGCTATAGGTTAAAGTGTTCTTTCCAACGTTCCAATAGTCTATCCTCGGAATTAATTATTTTGTCGAATGACAGTTGTGGAATATTATCCAGAAAGCAAGTAAGCATACTTGCCAGGGTCATTCAACACTCATCACTTCATGTTAACTTTCAGCAAGGGAAGAAACAGAGGGAAATTGTAGTATGTTCGCTACTGACTGCGATTCTTGGCCATATCTGATAACACTTAGAGCCACTGATCAGAACTAACTTTCGGAAACCAACCAGGGAGTCGTCGTGTATTATTAGATGATGCTAACCCAACACAAATATCTTTCATCCCACAGTGCCATATCATAAGCTGACAACCTCCTCTTCGCTTTTTTCATCCTGTCCCAGGGCTAGCGAACAACGACAGATACAGCAGCCTTTGGGGCGACATTCGTAGCACATGTCCAAGATATCCACCAAGGTGGTGTTTCAAAATGACTACATTCAATGACTGGTGACCTCTAACGTATGCAAACCCACGCTGCTGGACCTCAAAATCATTCACACGATGATGCCATCAGATACGAGCGATCCCACGAATGCAGCAATCGCCGAATACGCAAAGTCACTGCACATCCTCGACTCGGAGAGATCAAGTTTCATAGGCACAGAGCAAGAGTGCACACATCTTAGCATTGTAAACCCGACCTTTGACAGCTAGGCTGACGTCGTGACGGCAACAGAGGTAGCTCAAACTGGCGTTTGCCGTCACACCACCAGCACTCACACAACTACCTAGGTATACAAAAACTTGTCGGCAAATTCAAACAGCTCACCTGCAAGCACGAATGTGGGTACGGTAAAAAGCACGTACCACGCTCATAGACACTTACAATTCACATAAAATGAGACAAATAAAAGATAGAGAAATACAGAAACAGGGAATAAAGGACTGGTATAAAATAATTCAAGTTTTCACGTTTCGCAACATTATATAAATCTGCGGCTGTCTACTCTAATGCACTAAATAAATCTAAGTAGGGTCACAGTGAGGGTGGTGATCGCTTGTAACATATTAAGTTTTTATGACCAAGAAAACTTATAAATAAAATGAACTACAAAGTGTAGCAAGAAGGATAAAAAGTGAGTACAACTGAACTATCAAATCATTAATTCTTAAGAGGCAACTGATAATCACTTTCTCACTACACTGGTTCGACATTTTAGTAAGGTAAAACGGACAATATTATAATTTGCTTTCACTCCAACAGATCTTTAAGAGAAATAAACCATTACTCAACGTGCAAAGTAGTCTCTAACTATCATCTGTAATCTATGGTTCCTGTCTGTCTGTATTCGACAGAGAACTTTGCACCGATGTGTGGCAGTTCAAGCCGCCACACACACACAAAGCAAGAGAAGAAATGCATAATATAGACAGTAAACAGAGGTGAGAGGCAAAGGAATAGTAACAACGAAGAACAACATAGTCCCAACCGATAGCTGCTACCTTGACGTGGTGGTCGGGCTTGCACATCGCAATGACCCAACAAGCCACACTGGCTGGAACCAATGTTCCTGCAGGTCCTACCATGCCAGAAAGGTTGTTAGGATAGCGATTAAACTAAAAGCAGTTACCGGCATTGTGTAAGAATCTTTCCTACACTATGCTGGGGGTCTGAGGGCGAAGTCGTACTGCTGGGGAACAGGGGTGTAACAGCAATAAGGTGTTTCCCTCAGATGACCAGCATGCCAGCTATACTGTCTCTCCACTCCGGAGAAAGGGGTTAGAAAAGGTCGACCCCAAAACTTTTACATCCCGACTTACCCTACGGTGGTCCGTCACCGGCGGTAAGTTTACTAATACGGAACTAATCCCAGAAACCAGTTCATACAGGCCGTGTGTGACCGGCCTCAAGCAGTTGTCCCCTGGGCTCTGCGGTCACGCAACACTAATCCTCTTCCTGTTTCAGGTACCCGAAGTGTCAATCAACTTCCACGGTGTGGGCAGCCGGGAAGTAACAACCGCCCACACACTTCCAAAAGCTCACGAAGCCTTCCTGAACATCATTCTCCTTAACTCACATTACCTTCCTCATCTTGCTTCTCTACTACAGTTAGTACCATTCTGCAGGTCAGTGAGTCATCTTCACTTCACTCTGTGACCATATATGGTTTCAACTGTACACAATTCTTTTTCAGGATTTCCGTGATTTGTGATATGTACCTAATAATATCAGTAGTTGAGTTTATCACCTCTAGTGAACATCTTTTATCCTCGTGGTGTCGCATGTTGTACTGAATAATAACCAAGGGTTGAATAAATACAGTTGTTTACACAATAACAATCTCGAATGGTCAGATAAATTAATCTGCTGTTATTCATTGTCTAATAATTCATTCCCCCGAAACAGATTAGCCACTTATTTGGAGAAGCGACTCCATTTTAAATGCAAACCTGTGTTAAGTAACCGAGTCACATTAGTATTTTCATAGAAATCACGGACAGTCTCTAGCACACTCCTTGGAGGAAAACTTAGCTGGATGTGCAGTGCTCTCACATATAATTTAGGTGTGAATAAGTGTTAATAGCCTATAGTGATGAGAATGGAACGCATGCTGAAGGTTTCCAATAAAGAAAAAGCAGTACACAGCGACACTCACTTGGCGAAAATGAGGCGGCACTCATGTCAAGGAAGTGTGAAGAGAAAATATGAAGTGAATAGAAACAAGTTAGAAAATCACACGGAGCATCAATGAAGCGGTCAACATACCAACTTTTTACAGGACCTCCATTAATGATATCTTCAGTAGTTTTTGTGTCGAAATTCAGTTTTCCATCACAATCACGCTGGAACAGTTTACCAGAACCATGTCCCAATAGTTCATGCAGTCCAACTTGTAATTCAAAAGAACTTTCAGCATGCTCCACATACATTTGTTTGTCTTCATTACGTAGAAATTCTGATTTAGGATCCTAGTTTGGTGAATAAGCTTTTAAAAAAGAAAAAGAACTTTACCTTGAAACGAGCACTAAGTACATTGCCCAAAGAAACATTTTTAAAGCCATCAACTTGTCGTATATCATCATAGTTAGGAATATTAATTCCAACAGGAATCCCCGAAGTTGCAAACGTCACTACATCCAAACTAGTAAAGTCTGGTTGTAGGAATTTATCTTTTTCATAGGTAGAAGGCCATGGTAAATTTGTTAACAACTTTTCAGCATTATCTACAAGTCGTTGGAATTTTGTTGACATTGATCTATTTACAACAGCGACAAATGATTCAAACTCTCCACGAACGCCTAACGGATCACGATATGACTCTATAAAACCAATATAGTTTTCAACAATAGGGTTCTTATCTTTAACCCATAACCTGGAAGCATCTTTGTGAGTGGCTACTGAGCCAGTAGTAAAGCTTTCAGCATACTTATGCCACATTTCTGATTCGATTTGGTTCAGTGAATGTGCTTTAGAATCCTTACAACAATCGACTAGTAACTTCATCAGCTCACTATAGTCACCATATTCAAGCTGCAAAGATGTATCGGAGGGAAAGGCATCATAAGATATGGGCTGGATGGATTTCTCAGCTGACGCAAACCGAAGAGAGTAAACTTCTTTCTTAGAGTCAGCATTTTTGAAAAGTCGTGTATTATATGGCTCGGTTTTTATACTTTCCAGGTACTTTTGAATTAATTCAGCATCACTACGCGTACAGTTTGCAGAGTAGTAAGTTGTTATTTCAGTTGGACCGAATCCAAGGCGTAAACGACGGGAGTTTAATGAATATAGTGCAGGAGCTATTTCTTCCCACAAAGCTTTGAGACCTGTCGCCGGATTAGAAAATGCGCTATTCACTGATAGAAGCTCTGTTACTCTACTCAAACTAATAGCTGGAACGAACTTGGTATCTCCAAAAGACAAGTAATTTCCAAAGTTGCCTAGAACCGATGCAAAGTACGATAGCAAGTGGTTTATCTCTTCCTCAGAAAAGTTTTTCTTTTTCGCTTCTTCAGTGAATGAATGCACATCTTGAGACTTGAAGAATCGATAAATAAATAGGAATATTCCAGCAGATTCTGGAGATGTTTGAATTAAGCCAATCAGACCACCAACCCATGATGCTTGTGTGCAGCTGAAGACATAATCTTTTTCACTTTTACTAAGTGAACGGAATGCTTCGGTCACGTCAAGACAGTGAACAGGAGGCGGGACATTTACATAGAAGTCCATACTACGGGAAAGAACAGGTTGCTTTGATGTTTTCAATAAACTAACAGAACGAAAGTAACGTGCTGCTGGCCGGAAGATGGACTGAAGGCGATGGAAATAAACCTACAAATAGGACGAAGTAATTATACGTGTGAAAATATTTTTAAGTGACCATTTCAGAAATTATCACTTGTAGAAAAATAGCTTTATTGACTTTATAATAGTTATACAGATAGCAGTAAATGACATTAACTATCGCAAAATATATTACTATGGTTGACAACTAGACGATAACTAATTAACTGTATGAAGACTTGTCCGGTTTTTCAATGCATTCAGAACCTATGACCCGCTTTGTAACAGATTAACAGTTAATATCACAATTTCTAACAACGTCTAGTAACCTCATGTTAAGTGATTTGATGAGACTAATACGCGACGTGTTTTGAGCCTCCTAATGCTCATTAACTACTAGAGGCATTTGATTACTTATTCACACTGCAGTCAAACAGCAGGCAATTAATTAGCTGGAGACCGGCCGAACTGTCGATAAGCCAGTGACCTCTCTGTCGATTATAGTCTTATTGACCACTGATTTACAAAAGCAGTTCCTCAATCTGCCTAAACTGTTATTTATCAAAAATGACCACTGACTACTCCATGTATTTTTCACATGACCTATAGCTACTGCTACTTCGATTCAGCCTGCATTTCGCAAAGACTCGAATAATAGTTTCTTAAAGTACTTTCATGTCAGAAGGCTAGTTATGTAACCATAGAAATTAAAACAGTTAAGCTGAGTATAACCCAGCTGGCTGTATCGCAGTGATAGTGAGACTGGACATCTAAAACAAACATTCACCTAACAAAGAGGCTACGCAAATTTGTTCACCTACTTAGGGACTACAATTGTGGCAAGGATAATGAGTATCGTATTGATATATATGTATATATATATATATATATATATATATATATATATACTGAAAGCGACTATTCTTCACTGTACTCAGAAAATTGTCTTCTAGGTGCTGCAAACAATGAAAGAACAAATCCCCACTATACTTCAACTATTTCTGTAGAGTTGCAGCTGTCTTTATATATATTCAAGATCGCTTTATTAATTCAGACACAACGAGCTATTTTCTGCTTGCGTTCGAGCATTAAAACCATTGTGAAACGGTTGGCATGAACAAGTCTTGTTTTACTAATAATTAATGTCTATTCTCTAAATGGCCTAATAATAGTTCACATGCCTTCGGTCCATTTTAAAATTACAGGAGCAACATGTGGTTTCTTAATCCATGAAAGCAAACGAATTCACGTCAACACATTACAACCATATAATTTTATAGTTACAAATTCTTAGTTTGGTAACACCATAGCAAATAAGCAAAGTATGTGAACTATATTCACTGAGTAAAAATGCTCCATGTTATTTACATGGCACATGCAAAAATGAATTATTTCCACCTGAAAACAACTGCGTAAAGAAGTCACGACAAAACACAAAAGTGACAGGAATCATTTATTAACAGGTAGAAAGGATATAAACCACTACAGGCCCATATGTGGGAATACACGGGGTCAACTATGGATAAAAACATGGAGAAACAGGTTGTGGGAACGCAATATACATTAGTACTTTTTTTAGAATCAACACCTAGGTTTCTGCTGTACTGGTTAACCTATACCTCCACTTATCTAGTGAGTCATGATTAGTGGTGCCTACCAAAATAAAAGAATTTGGGGGCAACGTTAAGTTGTAGTTTTGGGGAATTTCAGCACTTTTCTCCCAAATACTGCCAAACTCAGAGGCTTCCGAAATTTCCCCAAAAAGATTTTATTTGGGCTAGCTACAAATTACAAAGGAAAGTGGACCCCTCTGGTTTGCATTAATCCTTGCAATATATGTCAATGTAGAGATCTAATTCCTCTTTCAAAGCGCTCATCAATGGAGATGACTACTTCGACAGGTTAGGAGTTTCAGACGCTGACCATGTGGTACACGTGCCCTATGTGAGAAACTAAATTCCGCACGCCAGAGAATAGATTTATGCGTGAAATACAATGACAAGTTACGGAAACTTCAGTAAAAAGTCTTTTATGCAGGAAAAGACTCAATGCATCAATATAAATGCGCCATGATGTACAAACGATTTCCCGACCCAGAGGGAAAAGTAGACCCACAAATAGACCGCGGTAAATGACCTAAGCAAAAGCGTCTGATATCCAATACCGTTTTTACGAGCTAGTACAAACCAATTTGATTTCTTTGTGCTCGCCTCTTGATTGTGAGGTAGAGGTTCCTGATCTTCGGTAAACGTCTTTTTATGAAATTGTGTAAAACAAACTGGTTTCTGTAAGCTCGCATCCTGATCGTAGGTTAAAAGTTCTTGGTTATCGGTAAGCCTCTGTATACTTTATCCTTCTACCTGTCTGCTGTTTCTTTGGTCAGTTCATGACGACAAATCTGATAACATTTCTAACGTTGCATCCCACCCAGACTTCAGATATAAAGTTACAAAAGATGATATCAGTATGCTAGAAACACCATGGAGTTCATATCAAGGACTCCATAGGTGTGATCGTTCCCTGAATTCCACCGGAGGCTAGACACAACATATAAATACGATTGCCTGCTGGAAGAAGTCTTATTTTATACCCATTCGTAAATACCAGCCTTTAGGTGATATCAATAACTTCAGCCCCATCTATATCATGTCTTTAGTTTTACGCTTATAGAAAAGATAGTAAAGACTCCAATCATTCAGTACTTGCTCTCTAATGGACTGCTGTCTCCACCCGAATACGTTTTCCTAAGTAGAAGGTCGTGCATAACTTACCACTTGGATTATTTTCACCACATTGCACAATGCATGGATAATGGGTATTCAGTAGCAACGTTATTTCTAGACGTTAGCAAAGCCTTTGATAAAGCCCCACATATCAGACTCCTAACAAAGCTCTAATCCTACTAAATAACTGGAAAGCTTCTCAAATTAACTAATTCTCTTCTCACAGAAAGACAGCAGTTAGTCAAAATCAGTCACTAACTGTCTACACCAAAGCCGATAACTACCGGTGTAATGCAGGGCAGAGTTCTAGGCCCCATTCCTTTCCTCTCATTCATAAGTGACATCGTCTCTGGGATCAGGTATGGCAAGCCATACCTCTTTGCAGATGACCTCAAGATAGTATATGATTATGGATACGATGACAGCACTAAAAGTAAATTCCAACACAAACTTAAACAGTCTAGGCGATAGCAGCGAAAAGTGGTAACTGACTTTCAATCCAAACAAGTGCAGTGTAGCTAACTTTGAACACCGAAACCGACAATGTGTCTACACGTGTACGGTATCCTCCTCTCAAAACTGAGTACAATCACAAATCTTCGGGTAACATTTAACATTTTCCGACCGTGCAAATAAGATAGTGTCTGACTGTAGACGACTAGCTGGCTTTGTTCTGAGTAATCTTTGCACTTAAGAAGCAAGATTAGCTATATATAAGACATGTGTTCGACCCAGACTTCAATATTGTGCTCTCCTATGTAGTAACCTAAGGTATGCAAAACAAAAAGAGTCGAAAGTGTCCAGAAATCAGAAAACGCATGAAAGCGTTTGACCAACAAGTGGAATATGTTAACAGGTGTATGCGACTGAAATTAGAACCCCTATGGTTAAGGAGAGTGAAATGCAACTTATTTCTACTCTTCAAAGTCATTAGGAAACGTTGTTACAGCGACTCATCCATAACGTGGGCAAATATTAACACATGTCAGTTGCAAAACCACGACTACCTTCTCAAGGTGGCTACCCACAGAAAAACCACTAGGGCAAAAATTTTCATCATTAAATATTTCACTCTTTGGGGCCAACTACCATCTGAAATTAGACGTTGTGAAAAGCCAGGTGGGTTCAGATGGAGTCTGGAAAGATATATTAACATGGCCACACAAGCTCGTCTGAAAGACCACAACTGTTGGTAGAATGGCTTACGAAAGCCAGTCCAGTCTTCAACGTGGTCAGTTGTGTCTACCTCAATTCTACTACTCATGCAGAGAATGTTCAGCTACCTTACTGATTTTCTCCTCCTTTTGAACTTCAAAGTGAGGGTGGTGTAAGTATTTCCAAAAAACAATTATATTGGAAACCATACCTTTTAATATTTTACAAATATACATATATAACAAGTTTAATACTACTATTTTGTGTAGAAATGATTACCTATAGTCAATAGTTGCCCATTTTCATATACTTTTCTGAAATTTACAACGTTAAGCTATTTCGTAGTAGTTTCTTCACAAATATAAGTTGACCAGCCACTTTGCAATGTCTAACACGTATCACATAAAAAATGGATCATGAAAATTTTGCGTAACAAGTTCTGCTGACCAGCTGTTTTCTTCAGGTTCACTCTATACGACTTTATCACTAATTGTTCCACTAATTATTTCACCCTGTTAAGTAGATTATAGCTTAGTTGCTGTAGTGCTAACTACTTTTATACCTTATAATTTTTAAGGGGAACTTAATTTCCCAGTTGTTTGTAACAACTACTTATACACGTGTAGGGATGTATTAAGATGATACTGCTAAGAACATCCTCAGGTATTGATGCACTCGGTGACCTAATGGGAAGCACTTGCCATGGAAGCTATAAATGTGCATCCTAGTTTATGACTGGGACGGGCTAAAAGTAATGCAGTGCTACGACTGCGGTTATTGCAAAATGATCTCAGAGCTTAACATCAAAAAAGAAGGGAGGGTGGAGTATGCTGGTTAGCAGACATGGTGGTGGTCACAAATGTCAATCACCCCGATCTGGAGGACGGTAGCATGCATTGCTAAACATGAGTCTAGATCCTCAACATAAAAGAAGAACAATAAGGGTTGTACAGATCTAAATTTAAAAATGCTTTTGCTCCTGATATATATAAGTCTGATCAGCTTTATCAAGATGCTACCCTTTGAGTGGTACAGAAATTCGTGAGATGTCTTACGGACCAGCATGCCCTACAGTTTCTAATCTTTCAGATCTTTGAAGCCACTTCTCACTGAAATATCACCTATATACCTCACGACAATTTTTTATCTAAGTACTATTCTACCCTATTTT